TCACAAAGCCCAACAAGCCAGCTTCTACGCCAAGTTATTAAAGGCTGTCAAATAGCGATGCAGTTAGCAACAATACTTGCAGAGGAGAATAAGAAGCTACGTATACAAGTCCAGCGTCACGAAAAAAGCAGAGTCAGCAGCGTCAATATATTGCTTCTGGTGGAGTACTCCAGGTCCAACAGGGTCAGCAGATAGCTGCAGAGGCAGAAAGGATGGTGATGGAGGCTAGCCAGAGCCAGGCTGGTGAGCGACGTCAGCGCGCACCGCCGACGTGTACGAAGTGCCACGTTCAAGGGCATACTCGGATCTCATGTAAATCTATATAGAGAATAATATCTCTTAATTTTATTCTATTTTATTGCGTTATTGTAGAGCAATTGCGCAGAGCGTCGGGTTAGGTTGGGCGGGGTGCCCAGCTTACTGATCTGCCCAGCTTACTGATCCCGCACGTTATCTATATAGTACTATGTAAGCAGTTGCATGTGTGGTGGTGCAAGTGGCGCAGGTGGCGAGCGGGGCTCGGAGGGGCTCGGCGCCATGCCCCATTCGCCATGACGCTTCGACAGGGCTGGAGATTTTTGGATCGAGAATCTTCATCTATGTCGGCCGCTGTCTTGCCTTTACTTACTTACATGCCGCCTCTCGCCCCTCCTCTGCGTGCGCAATCTGTCCGATTCATATTCTGGCGTTGAAGCATCTTGGGGTTCCTTTTCTTTTTTTCTTTTCTTTCGGCGTCCGTTTTATTTAGATACCCACTCCCCTCCCCAGTACACGCTACAAGACGACAGTAGGCATTGGGCACGATGCTTACGCGGGCAGCCGGACGAAAACTGCGCAGAGATGCCTTCAGGACACCCACGACGCTTTCTGACCAACTGACGCTGCCATGGCTGTGTCCCGCACTGTCACGAGCGCATTCGCAGACGCCTTCGATGGCTGCACGACGCAGCGCACACGACTCGACAACACGACGTCGACAACGTCGCTCGTCACTGTCCCTCCCCCTCTCTTCCTCAATCTCTGCTGCCATCCCTACGGCAGTCCGCCACGACACACGCTCGCTTGCTACGGCGGCCGAACTGCAACCCCCGCCGCCCTCGTCGCTTTCCTTCAATCCTTTCACCCAAGCCTTTGGCCGTCATCCACCCGACGCAGACCTCGCCCGCCTACCGCTATGGGATACCACCGACTTCCTGGTCGTTCACGATTCACTGGCTTCGATGCCACAACTTCGAGCCGTTCCCGGTGTCGGCAGCGATCCTACCGAGCTACACCAAAACCTATATGCCTGTCTACGGGTCGGTCGTGTGGATCGTGCCGCTGTAATTGTCAAGCGACTCATGACTCTATACAGACCAGATGCACCTGAAGTGATTGACGCACACAACGTCTACCTACAGACCCTCTTGGACTTGGGCCAATACGACGCCAAAGCCTCGGCAATGGAAAAGATACAGACTTGGTACGAAACCAAGATGCTGCGCCAGGGCGTTCAACCCAGTGCCCAGACATTTGTCACTCTCATACGTTCCGCAATGCACTTTCTCGACGACAGCGCTGCAGAAAATGCCGTCCGAGCATACATTGCCACTGCGCGCGAGTACGGTGAGAATGTTGTTGATACCATCAATGCTTCACCCGACTTTTCCGACGAAGAGTGGGATCTTTTGATTCGTCTGCAGCCCGAGTCATTCAACGAGCCTCCGCCGGTTGAGCAAGTTCAACATCTCCATGTCAGCACACCCGCCGGCCGCACCAATCTTATCGCCCACGGCCTAATACCCCATCCAACACAGGAAATCAAGCCTGTCAAGCAGAAGGGCATGGGTCTGGACTCGTTGAAACAGGCACTTAATGTCTTTGATCATGAAGACTGTGTCCCCTACCCACATGATATGGAGGGCACGCAAGAGGAAAAGGATCAAGCATACGCTTACGCACGACAGATTCAGATGGAGCAGGATGGTATGGAAGCCGCTGTCAAAAGATGGAAAGCTGAGGACGAGAAAATGCAGGAAATTGGCATTCATGGGGTCATGAACACAAAGTCTATCCAAGCCATGATGTATGGCTGGTACACCGCCCTAGTACCATTGTTCAAGAAGCGCATTGAGCATGCCAAGCAAGTCTTGTTGGAACCTCCAAAGGCCACAACGCGAGACGACGCCCACGAATACGGAGTTTGGCTAGAGCGATGCAAACCTGAGAAACTAGCGGCTATCACCGTTGCCCGTAGCACCCAATCTGCGGTAAAAGGCAAAGGAGAAGATAGTTCTGCTCTCAAGATAGCGGCCCTGTCCATCGCTGTGGGTAACGACATTGAGGACTATCTCAATGCCGAAACCCAAACTCGTCGAGATGCTTTTCTCAAAAAGCAACGTAAGCAAACCCGCCTGAACTTGGTCAGCACGCTTGCCAAATCAGGTTCGACATCATCCACAGAAAAACAACCCCAAAGTGCGAAGAGTAACATGCTCGAGTTTGAGAAGGTTCATATGCCTCTCTCGGCTCGGACAAAGCTTGGTGCTATGTGCATCGAACAGTTACTTCAGTCAGCAACTCTTGTGGTGACGGCGAAAGACCCGAGAACCGGCAAATCAGTCTCTCGTAGCATGGCAGCTTTTCACCACCAGGTTGGATTCCATCAAGGCAAAAAACTTGGTTTCCTCGTACCACATCACGAGCTCATGGCCAAGATGCGTACAGATTCTGTTCATAGCATTCAAACGGTCCGGCTGCCGATGGTAGTTGAACCAAAGCCGTGGTCAAGTTTTGAAGATGGTGGATACTATACTGTGCCGCAGAAGATTGTTCGTCAAAAAGGTGGTGATACTGCTCAGCGGGCGTATGCTCAGCTGGCCATAGAAAACGGTGACATGTCCAAGGTAATGGCCGGCCTTGATGTTCTAGGAAAGGTTCCCTGGCAGATCAACGCTCCTGTCTACGACGTAATGGCTCGTGCTTGGAACGCTGGTGAGAGCATTGGATCTTTAGTCGGTGAGGACGCCATCACAAGCCTCAAGCGCCCCTCTGAACCTTCTGCGGAAGCTTCATTCCAAGAACGATCACGATGGAACAAAGCTCTTCAGGAGTATGAGGACACGATTGGTGGCCTTCATTCTCAACGGTGCTTTCAAAACTTCCAGCTTGAGACTGCCCGAGCGTATGTCAACGAAAAAAAGATCTACTTCCCTCACAGTGTCGATTTCCGAGGCCGAGCGTACCCAATACCACCTATCCTTAACCACATTGGCTCGGATCTCTCAAGAGGACTTCTTAAGTTTGCACATGGCAAAGAGCTCGGCGCTGTTGGCTTGCAATGGCTGAAGATCCATCTTGCTAACTTGTACGGTTTCGACAAGGCAAGTTTGCGAGAACGCGAGCAGTTCGCCATGGACCACATGAGTGAGATTTGCGATTCTGCAAGTCAGCCTCTAGAGGGACAGCGATGGTGGACCAAGGCCGAAGATCCGTGGCAATGCTTAGCATGCTGTATTGAATTGAAGAACGCTTTCGACCTACCCGATCCGACCCGCTTTGTATCACAACTACCCGTTCATCAGGACGGAACCTGCAATGGACTGCAGCATTACGCGGCCTTGGGCGGTGACCATGCTGGCGCTCGCCAAGTCAACCTTGAGCCTTCGGATAGACCTCAGGACATCTACACTGGTGTTGCAGAGCTCGTGAAAGAAATGGTTGCTAAAGATGCCAGTAAAGGTGTACCTCTTGCGAACTTCATAGATGGACACATTTCTCGAAAGGTCGTCAAGCGGACGGTCATGACCAATGTGTATGGCGTCACATTCATGGGAGCGAAGCAACAGGTCCAAGATGAACTTCGCAGTCTTTTCCCCCATTTTCAGCCCACGGACAAAGTGAAGTCACTCGGAGTTGTTGCTTTGTACGTCGCACAAAGAATCTTCGAAGCACTGGGCAAGATTTTCAACGGCGCCCAAGAAATTCAATACTGGCTGGGCGAATGCGGTGATCGTATCACAACATCGATCTCTGCCGAACAAATCAAACGGATTCAGGAACGATTTGAGGGAATGAATCCTGCGGCAGCACTATATGACCCGAAGTTTGCTGCCCCCAAAAAGGTCACTACGCTCCAGATCAACAAGCTAAACAAGAACATGGAGAAGTTCAAGACTAGCATCATTTGGACGTCCCCTCTCAAGATGCCCATTGTGCAGCCGTACAGAAAAGATACCGTGCAGAAAATAAGAACCAAGATTCAGGATATCACTGTCTCAAAGAAATCACAGCAGGACGAAGTTGACAAGCGTAAACAACTGCAAGCATTTCCTCCCAACTTTATTCATTCTCTAGATGCCACGCACATGACACTTTCGGCGTTGAAAGCCAATGAAATGGGTCTCGATTTTGCGGCTGTACATGACAGTTTCTGGACACACGCATCTGATATCCCAAACCTGAATATAATCCTTCGCGACGCGTTTGTACGCATGCATAGCGAGGACATCATCGCTCGTCTTGCTGCAGAGTTCTCTGCACGCTATGCAGGAGCAATGTATCGCGCTACTGTTATCAACCATTCAGAGGCCGGACGGAAGATAATCAAATGGAGGATGGAAAATCGAAAAACGGGAGGAAAAGTCACAAGAGTCAGTGGGTCGGCCCGAGCAGATGCTTCATTTGAAGAAGTTGCACTAGAGGCCAAACGTCAAGAGTTGCTAAAGAGCGAAGATCCCAAGCAAAGGAAAGAGGGTGAAGAGATGGAGACACCCACCAGCATATGGCTCGCGAACCAAGATCCGAAGGCACTTCATTCTTTCCGTCTCCAACTGCTCGGTGAAACAAAAGAAAAAGAATCGGCAGACCGGCAAACGGAGATCAGAGACGATGTTCTGGATGGGATAACAGAGCCCTGCACCACTACTGAATCGACTATGCATCTTGTTGAAGACGATGCAGAGGATCTTGCAAAAGATCCTCAGAGTGGCGGCCTTCATGGGAAGAAGAAACCACTCTCCCGCATTGCTGCCGATAAGAGCACGGTCCAGGTCTGGGTGCCTTTGGAGTTTCCTCAAATCCCCAAGAAGGGTGGTTGGGATGTATCTCGTCTTCGAGAATCAAAATACTTCTTCTCTTGACTAAGTCCCGCACTTCGAGGCGATGCTGAGCGCGAGTTTTTTGCCCCAGGTGACTACGCGCCAATCAATGCGACGGAGCAGATTCGCAGAATTAGCAGGTTATTCAGGCTAGAGGACGAATGCGGATGGCACATCGAAATCAGTCATCTAGCCTGGTGGAGGGAGGCCCATCCAAACAGTTCGACCAATACTGGAAGAAAGAGGAAAGATGGGGAGAAGAGAGGCAGAAAGAAAAAAAATCTTTAGATGTGTTCCGCATTTACCTAGCTTGATTACGTGTATCATGTGTATCATACATAGTTAGCACCTTTCATTCAAGGAACTGTACGCCCAGTCTTTTTTTTTGAATCAATTACATAGAACCGTGACAGCACAGGACCAGCAGTTTTCTCGACTTGCATGATTTGTGCTAACAATCATTGCACGTGATGACATGGACGCAGGTCACCGGAAATCGCTGACATTTTGCAGGAAGTAACCAAGATAATACCGTCTCCCTGCATAGGACATGGGTAAAGTGTCCATGTAGCCAAATAATAGATGTCCAGAAAGAGGACCCATTTTTATGATACAAGACGGAGTAAGCCCAGGGGTCAAAAGGTATTCGTTATTGGCAAGATACCGGACCAACGTCGTCGCATAGCCTAGCTACCACTGCAAGGCAACCATACGACAGGGTGTACCTGCGCACTTCTTAGCTCCGAGAGATATGTAGTTTGTAATTTTGTATATTGTGGGAATTATAAGCCTTCCACATAAATCCGAAATGTGTCTCTGGGGACTCGAGCTGCAGGGGCAGTGAGATTTGCGAAAACATTTGCCGTTCGGCTATCCCGGCGCACTAAGAGGGGAACTGCTCGAAACGTCAAAGCGTCTTACAAGTGATTTGTGCCGGTGTCTTCGGTGGAGCTGCGGTAATGATCAACCAAGTCGTGTCTCGTGTAATCTTAATTACTCTATTCTTCTACAGTATCTACTTACCGGGTTACCGTCTTGACGCTGTATGCGATGCATGTCGGCGAAGACATGCTGTTTTATTTCCGTTATCAAATCGAACCCGACGTTAAGACCGTATTGGTATAGCATACCATTGGTGCTGTATCGGCTAGTTATAAAACATCTGATCATATGACTTCTTTGAAGCTGATAACCACTCTTCTCAGACGGAAGCTAGGAGACCTTGAATAATTGACAGGGAAGTTGCGACAACTTGCTTAAGATGAACGAATGATCAGCGGATCTGTGATGTAACATGGATGTGTACACGCTACTGCGTATACAGGACGGGCCCCCGATGAATGGTACAGGGGCTGAACTTCTACGCCAGCTCTTTGCCCCAGCAAGAACGTCGTCTATAAGATCCCTCCACAAATCATCTGTCTGTGCTCTTACAGGAAGCTTGTATCCGACGTCGGTTAGCTAGTGTCATTGAATCTTGAATTGTAGCTCACCTGTCTAGGAAGTATGATCGGCATGAAACACGCGCGAATCTCATAGATTGCCTGATAGGGGTGGTCGTTCCGTCTTGGATCTTAGTTACTAGTAGTGCTTAGCGACAGTTGTCTTGGTCTTGTGTCAGCGTCAGAGTTCTCCTTTCTAGGTCGGCCCGGATTGTGAGATCAGCATGGGACGATGGATGCATGAGGCAACGGACATAGCTTGGCAAGGTGACTGCAACACAACAGTTAACATGCAAACTACGCCACTAATTTTGGAGGTCAGGGACTTTCACTAGGGATAAGGGAGCGGCTCGCCTACTTCAAGAATGTAACAGCTTTGCCATGTCGTTGCCGGAAAGCATCCCCACACAAATGCTATCGTACAATTATATACCTGCCATGATTGCTTTTGACAATTGAGCGGCATTTGCCTCAGTATTACTGACACTAAAGTTGACAAAATACACAGATGGCCTATGCTCACGCTATTAGGGTGCGGCTCAGATAATCTTAAACACTACTACATGATCTAGACCCGTCTGTGTTCAGGGAGCCATGTACATTCTAAATATACGCTATCCGTCTGTGCGAAGATCCGGCACATCCAGCCAAGTAGGCATCCTTGGTTCGGTCTTACAATGAGCATACTCCAGTAAGCTTTCAACGAAAGAGTACGGATTGAACGTCTGTGCTAACTCAAGAAGATCATTGCCCCACTTTTGGGCAGTCAATTCAAACTGCTGATACAACTACCGACGATTCTAGAACTCAGAGCATAGTAACAAACATACGTATATAAGCCTTATAGATTCATCCAGTTGAAGAGCAAGAACCATACCAACTTCATCCTCTACATGACACACTTTAGCCTTCCATTGGAGCCAATTAACCTTATCTCTCAATCCTGATCATCGTGCATATAACGACATTATAACAATGCCAGCTCGCATTATGATCCGGAGACCGGTGGGGAGACTCCTGCAGATGGTGCCCAGATCTAGTCCATTACGAAGGCTAGGGACAATGGTCGATAATAGAGGTTCCACGATGCCGCCTGGTCACAGAGCCACGATAGGGCATCTCCAGACGTTTGAACTTCCCGAATCTCTCAGTGGAAATGCAGCAGATAAGGCTTTGGGAAAGAGCATGATCGATGCTTGGAGGAAAGACGGTATCCTCCAAATCTCTATGGACCCTATCAACCGCAAGCTCGCTGATGCAGCATTCCTTTGCAGCAAGAAGTTCTTCAGTCTAGACTACAACAAGAAGGCATCTTGTCTGGATGATCAATCTTTCGCTGGATACATTGCGTCGGGCGAAGAGATCACAGATAACATCGCTGACTATAGCGAGATCTTCACCGTCACCAAAGATCTTGCACTGTCTGATTTCCGTGTCCAGCAGAAGTGGCCATGCCATGGACCTTGTCCATGGCCATTTGGTCAGATGAAGACTGTGATGCAAGCTTATATGGATTACCTTGGTGAGAGTGGCGAGAAGATGCTGCAGCTCATTGCCTGGGGGCTTGGTATGGAGGATGGCAATGCCCTCACAAGGTATACACAGGATGGCTGGCACCATATGCGCATCCTGCGTTTCCCTGAGGCGAACAACGTCAATGGCAAGGGAAAAGCCGGACGCGGAATTGGCTCGCATACAGACTACGGACTACTTGTGATTGCCGCCCAGGATGACGTTGGCGGTCTCTTCATCCGCCCTCCGATCCAAGGTGAGACGTTTGCCAACTGGAAGGAGAGTGCAGCTGGCAAGCACGAGGATGCCGATGGCTGGGTCTATGTCCCACCCGTACCTGATGTCTTCACCGTGTTTCCTGTAAGTTTGATCCACTTGCGAACTTTTTGGGAGATGTTCCTGCTGACAAGCATGCGAGGGCGATATGATGCAATACATCACTAACTCTTTCCTTCCCTCCACGCCACACAAAGTCGGCCTCAACACTCGTGAGCGTTTCGCGTTCGCTTACTTCCATGAGCCAAACTTCTCCGCTGTTATGAAGCCTTTACCAGGCTTTGAGGCTAGAGATCCTATTAGTGGAATCCACTACGGAACTCATTTTACGAACATGTTCATGCGGAACTATCCAACAAGGGTCACCGCCGATCGAATAAGAGCTGAAGACAGAATGGCCTTATTAGAATCACCAAGCCTTCGCGAGCTATCGCTCTAGTGTAGTACCATAGTTAGAAATAGATTTGTAATCAATCATTCTCTTATAACGTGCGGGATCAGTAAGCTGGGCAGATCAGTAAGCTAGGCACCCCGCCCAACCTAACCCGACGCTCTGCGCAATTGCTCTACAACAACGCAATAAAATAGAATAAAATTAAGAGATATTATTCTCTATATAGATTCACATGAGATCCGAGTATGCTCTTGAACGTGGCACTTCGTATACGTCGGCGGTGCGCGCTGATGTCGCTCACCAGCCTGGCTCTGGCTAGCCTCTATCACCACCCTTTCTGCCTCTGTAGCTATCTGCTAACTCTATTAGACCTAGAGTACTCTATTAGAAGTAATATATTAACGCTGCTAACTCTGCTTTTTTCGTTAACGCTAGACTTCTATACGTAGCTTATTATTCTTCTCTGTAAGTATTGTTACTAACTATATTACTATTTAATAGCCTTTAATAACTTAATATAGAAGCTAGCTTATTAGGCTTTGTAATTACTAATAGAGCTGTTCTTAAAGAAGCTTTACCTACTACTAAAGCTAAGCTACTATATATAGTGTTTCTAGCTGCGTTGTAGCGTTATTATCTATAGTTATCTATAGTAGAGATGGTATTCTAGCTATAGTAAGCGATGATAGAACGCGATCTAGATAAAGAGGGATAAGTTCTGTCGCTTAAAAGCATGCCTAGATATTCTGCTGCGTAAATACTATTAGCTAGATCCGCGTATAGGCTATAAGGAAGTCTATCTTATTAATGTAGTAGACGTCTTAGTAGGTAAGCTCTTAATCTTACGTCTATACGCGCGCTTAAGCGGCGAGAAGTAGCTTATATTAAGTAGCTAGAGAAGATGCGACGTGTGTGGCGGTATATAGAGAGTAATAATCTTATTCTTAGCGTAGTACTAGTTGAACTCTAGCGTAGCGTAGCTACTATATGTAATGGGCTGCGCCCGTAGAGTGAAAGCACGTGATTGTATCACGTGCCTACATCGCGTGCCTATATCACACCGCTTAGTTAGAACTTACTCATACGAAGAGTAGAGAAGTAAGGTAAAAAGAGAGAGAGTTATCGTACGATAGCTTAACTCTTCTTATCTTTCTTCTTCTATACTATAGGCTAATATAAACTTATTTAAAGGCCTCTTTACTTATAATATAAGAAGAAAAACTACTACTCTTATCTCTTCTTTATATAAGAATAAAGAATTAAGAATATTCTCTATAGATATAGTAATCGCGCCTAAGAGTAAGTTATAATAAAATAATAAACTCTAAGTAGTTTTTATAAAAAATAATAAGCTAGATAGCTAAAATTACTAAACGTAACCTTTATATATTAATCTTTTTACTAGTAATAAGTAACTTTAGTAAGGCCTTTACTACGTAATAGTAGAGCTTTAATAGGCATAGAATATATTTTAAGAATTTAAATAGATAAAAAACCTTCTTTATATAATTTAGAGCTAACTTTCTATTAGTAATATATAGATGCCTATAACTACTCTAAGTAGAGATAATTAGTAATCTACGTATAACTTAACGCTTATAACTAAATCTACTATATAAAAGTTTAAAAAATTAAGACTTCTAAATATAGAAGTTCTTAAAAAGAGAATTTGTAAAGAATACTTCTAATAAGAAATCTATATATTAATAAAGCTCTTTACTAACTATCTTATATACTTTTTAGAAAATTACTAAGTATACTATATAATTCCTTATATAAAACAATAAGTCTTTACTACTCTTTAAGCTTATATTATAGTAGTAATAGATAAATAAAAAGAACTATTACTAAATAAACTTTAGGCTTAACTAAATAGATTCTTCTAAGACTAAATAATTAAGTAAAAGGCTCTATAATATCTTTATATAATAAAGTAAGATAAAGAAGAGTTCCTCTCTTATATATAAGTATTTAACTTAAGGTTCTATTAAATAAGACTAAGCTCTCTTAATAACGCGCTTAAAATTAACTACTTAAAGAACTTACTAAATAGAAAGCTACTCTACTACTAAGCTAGCTATTAATCTTTAGCTAGTAAAACGTATAAGTACTTTATAAATAGAATACGCGTTACTTAGAAAAACTTAAAAGTAGTAGACTAGCTATTATATAATATAATAGTCTACTCTAAATCTTTTTCTATAATTTATAAGATAATAAATTAGACTCTAACTATAAACGCTCTAGGTCTTAATATAAAGAATAACTATTAGAGTATAAGAACTTAAATTATATAATAAAAGAAAGAAGATAGCTATCTCTACTATAGACTTTAAAACTATCTTATATACTACTATAAAGCTATAATACTTAAATATATAAGAAACTCTATACTTACTATAAAGATAATAGTAGATACTATAGAAAGTAATAGCTCTAATAAGAGAAAAGAAGAGCTTTAGCCTAAAAACGCTAGCTAAAGCTATCAAAGTAAGTTAAGAAAGTTATATAACTATTTTATAGTCTCTTATAATAACTAAAAGCTACTTTACTTATATTAATTAATATAATTATTAATAGTATTAGAAATACTAGTACTATAATAAAAAATAGATATTATACTTAGTCTCTAATTAATAAAATAATTACCTAAGAACTTAACTAACTACGTGTATAAATAAGACCTTATATAGTTATAGATATAAGTAAGTAAAAGAGCTTTATATATGCTATTAATAAGTTTATAGTTAATATAAGAGAAGTAAAATAATAAGTAGCTACTTATATTATTCTATTACGTATAAGTATAATATATTTTAAAATAAACTTAGCTTAAAGACGTAGATAGCGTAATTAATACTCTATAATAATACTTATACTTCTACTACTATTAAATCTTAGTTCTAAGTACTAAGTTCTCTATATAAGAAATAAACTCTCTTATAGTTTCTTTAGCTATCTTTAAGTACTATATATATTAAAGTAAGAAGTAGCCAGCTATATAAGTATTTACTATAAGCTTTTAAAATATTAAAAAATCTTTATGTCTAAAGACGCTTCTTATAAAAAAAAGTAGAATAGTGTTATAAGTAATAAGAAGAATTCTCTCCTTAACAAATAACGAGATGGCTGAAGGCCTATGGACGTCCACGTCAGAAGGTAATGATTATCGCGGGGCTAGGTCACGTGATGTGCCATCCCGCTAAGGGCAACTATCCGAGGGATGGCAGGACGCCTTGGGATGGCAGCTATCCCTAACATTACAACTATCCTAGGGATGATAGAGAAGTAAGAGATAGTAGGACTAAAGGCAACGGATATAAGAATAAGTTAGATTTTATTATTATATTCGTTATAGTTAACTTAAATTATACTTTCTTACTAGTATCTTTACTTAACAAGATTATTATAAGTTAGTCTATTAAATAGATTAGTCTTATTAAACCCTCCTTAAGCACGCTAACTCTACTGCATCGCTAGATAAGCCTCACGGAATACTAACGTAATACTTACCTACCTTAGTGCAGACTAGAATAGAGAAGTATAAACTCTTACTCTGTGTAACACTTTAACCACCCACGGATCTAGTAGAAGAAGGATTAACTAGCAGCGTCCGAATAAGATTAAACTATATTAGGAAATTTAAGCGAATATATTCACATCCTAGGCTTGGCGCCTAAGGGAGATATTAACATAACTAGTAGTACCTAAGGGGGAAATAACGAGCTAGCAGTAGGGAGCCCTAAGTACGAACTTATTAATCTTAGACGCGAGAGCTAAGCTTAAGTAAGGTAAATAGCTAAGTTATAGAATACGATTAACTAACTTATAGGTTAACTAATAGCTACTCTAAATAAGAAACTACTTAAGAAGCTAAAAATAGTAACCCTAGAAAAGTACGATAGAAGTCGTACTAAGTTATAGATATTTCTTACTAATATTAACTTATATTATAAATTTAATAAAGTACCTAATAACTAGGAAAAGATTCTTATAGCTAGCACCTATATAAAGAGATAAGCGTTAAGCTAGATACAGCTATATATAGAGGACTACCTATTAGATATTAAAAAAAAGAAATAAAGAATAAGACGCGTGCCTTATTTACTAGTTAGGCTAAGTTTAAGAAAGAGATAGAACACATCTTTAGGGAAGTAGATGCTTAGAACTAGACAGAGAAAGCGATAACTCGCCTAAAGCAGACTAGTTTAGTATTAGCGTATATAGCCGAGTTTAAGCAGCTATAGGCATAAATTAACTAGGACGACGCAGCACTTCAAACGGTATTCGAAGCAGGTCTAAAGGAAAATATTAAAGATAGACTTATACATTATAATAAACTAAACACGCTTTATACGCTAATTAAGTTAGTAATATATATTAATAATAGACTATAGAAAAGAAACTAATAAAGAAAATAATCTTAGCTAGTAATAGCTAATATAAGGAAATAGCGTAGCTAGTTTAATAAGAATAGCGACACTATTATAACTAGTAAGGTATAAGACAAGTCTAAGAATAAGAATAGAAAACCCTAAGGATAGTATAATAACGGACTCTCTATAGAAGAACGTAAGAAGCGTTATAATAGTAAGGTATATCTCTAATATAGTAAAGTAGAACACTTCTGTAGAGATTACCTAAAAAACAAAGTTAGATAAGAAGTAGTTAAGATTAGAATAATTTAGATACTAATACCATATCTAACTAAGAAGCTAGATAAAACCCTTAGCGACCTAGACCTATATAAAGAAGTAAGATAAGCTACTAATAAGGCCTTTAAGCTAGTATAAGAGGCAATAGAACTCTAAGACTTTAAGTAGAACGCACTATTACCAACGGATTAGCAGATTAAAGAGACTAAAGTACTACGCCGCCTAAGAAACTAATAGTTCTAGATTTACAGAACTAATATATATTAAGCTAATAATTATAACACTAATAGACGAGTTATAATCTTAGAACCCTAAGTAGATAAGATTATCTACAGAGCTACTTAAGAATAACCTAGGTTTAAGGAACCTAATAATAAGAAGACACCTTAGACGATTAAGAAATAGATAGAGCAACATAAGCGCCTATATTAGGTCGACTGCCTAAGATAGTATAATTATCACTTAAGAAAGCGAGAAGAAACTAGAGATAATAAGGATAATTACTACTATACTAATTTATAGTATAATAAGTGTCGCGTATAGTATTACTATATACACTAGCCTAGAGAAAAGAAAGCTTATAAAGAGTTATACTAAATTAAGTACACGATTAATTACTAATTCTATAAGAAATAGCGACGGAAAGCTAGAAGAGTAGATAACTACTACTATAGTACGATTTCCGCCGAAGAATATATAGTAAAGAACTATAAAATATATAGGGCCTAAGTATAGGAAACGCTAGTAGAGTATAGTAAACTTCTATAGACGCATTACAGGAAAGAATACGCTATATACTAATAATAGTTTAAGAATACTTAATAGATAAATAACTACTACTATAGTACTCTATTAGCGAATATTTATAAGGTAAAGAATTGCCTAATTTATAAAAATAGGAAGCTAGAACTAAGAAAGAGAACTATATAATAGAAGACATCTTATAAGAATATCTATTAGAGCTTCTACTATAATAACTAGTATACGATATACTATTCCGCTAAAATAGGCAAAGGCTACTTTCTAAGGAAGAAGGGAAGCAGGTAGTTAAAAAACTAGAATGCTACTAAGAATAGAGTTACGCTAGTAAAGGCAGTTCTAAAATAACTCTTAAGTAAGTACAAAAGGTAGGAGTAAAAGAATTATAATTAAAAACTATAGTACTTATAGATAAACATAAGATATTAGCGCTTATAGATAGTAGAGTAGTATAAACTATTATATCTCCACAAGTAGTAGAAGGAAATAATATACTCTATTAGAATAAGAAAGTACTAATACGAGTAGTATTAGCTAATAATAGTTCTATAACATATAGAAACAGCTAGATTCGACTTAAGACTAAGGCAGTAATATTACGCCTAGCTAGTTAAGAAAGCTAAGAAAAGATTAGCATCATAGATCTTAGAGAGACTAAAATAATAATTAGCTACAATTAGTTATTAAAGTATAACCCTACTATTAATTAGTAAAAGAAAATATTACTTAGCCGAGAGCCTATACATAAGGTTACTAGAGTATAACACGAGATACGCCCGATAAATTAGCGCGCAACCTAGAATAGAAGATTTAGTATAATCTTACTATATAAGATTGTGAGAATCTATACGAAGGACTCTTAGAGTGTAGAAGTTATTTAGATATAGTAGATCGCGACCATAAAGGAAGAATTAGTACTATAGTTAGCAATTCTAATAGAATACTAAACGGACGAGTTTAGAGAACTATTTAAGAAAAATTAGGTAACAGACCTAGCAAACCATTAGAATTAGAATTACGAGATTATTCTTAATAAAGGAGCTAAGTTAAGCTTAGAACTAATATACTCTATAGCGCCTAAGTATAATACTAAGCTATAGGATTACATTTAAAAGAACTTAAAAAAGAGATTTATCTAACTAGAATTAGACCTAATAGCCTTACCTATTTTATTTATAAAGAAATCTAACAGGAAGTAGCAACTATATATTAACTTTAGAAGGTTAAATAGCGTAACTTAGAAGAACTAATATCTCTTACCACTTATTATAGAGCTTATAGATCAACTCTAGAGAGCTAAGTAGTTTATAAAGTTTAATATTTAGGAAGAATTTTACTAAATTAGAATGAAGGAAGGTTATAAATAGATAATAGCGTTTAAAATAAAGTATAGACTCTTTAAGTATATAGTTATACTGTTCAGATTAACGAATGCGCTAGTAACCTTTTAATTAGTTATTAATAACGCACTCTACGAGTACCTTAGAATCTTTATTACCGCGTACTTAGACGATATACTAGTATACTCTAGCAGCACACGCGAAGAATATATTAAGCATATTAAGAAGGTTCTATGAAAGCTTAAAGAATATAAGCTATACCTTTAACTAGAAAAGTATAAATTCTATATATAAGAAACAGAATTCCTTAGATTTATTATATTAACTAAAGAAGTAAAAATAAACCTAAAGAAGATATAGACTGTATAGGAATAGCTAATACCTAAAATAGTTAAGAATATTTAGTCCTTTTTAGAATTCGCGAATTACTATTAGAAGTTTATTAAGAATTACTTAAAGATTATAGCACCCCTTATAGAAGTAACAAAAAAGGAAGTAGGTTTTAAATAAGAATAGGAATATTAGGAGGCTTTTAATTAAATTAAGCAGATATTCCTAAAGGCACTAGTACTTAAGATGTACAGCCCTTAATAACCTACTAGAGTCAAGACTAACGCGTCTAACTATGCACTTAGAGCTGTGTTATCATAATAGTGCGTAGATAGAAAATAGAGACTAGTATTCTACTATTTATAGAAGTTCTTAAGAGCAGAACTTAATTATAATATTTATAATAAGGAACTACTTAGAGTAGTTAATGCCTTTAAATAATAGAAAGTGTACCTACTAGGACTCTCTAAATAGATTAAGGTTTTTACTAATTACTAGAACTTAATAAGTTTTATAATAACGAAAAAACTTAACTAATAATAAGTACGATAGGCAGAGATGCTAGCCTAGTTCGACTTCAAGATCACGCACCGCGTAGGGACGCTTAATAGAGTAGCGGACGCTTTAAGTAGAAGGTCTAATTTACGCGAAGAGGGTTATAAAGAACTATATAACGCCTTACTTAAGATGATGCCTAATAGCAGTCTAAAGTATAACTAGCCGGAACTAGCTAAGGTAGCTAAGGTGGCTAAGTAGGTAGAATCACTATAGAAATAATAGTAGAAAAAAGTAACGTTATAGGCGTTAGAAACGGACCTCTATCTACTAGAAGTAATAAATAATAGAAAAGAGCTTAAAGCTCTAAGAGAATGTATAAGCACGTATATACCCCTATATATAAGAACTGAACTTATTAAGACTCTATATAAGTCCCTAGAATATAGATACGCAGGGGTAGACGAAATAGTTAGACGACTAGCTAAGGTGTTTGCAATACTACGCTTGCGAGCGAAGGTGTAGGAAATACTAGGTAACTATTTAGTATATTACTAGAATAAGCCTAAGAGATATAAGCTCTACGGCCTATTATAACCTCTATAGCTACTATCTAGACTATAGATAAGCGTAATAATAGACTTTATAGTAAAGCTCCTAAGATTATTAGAACTAGGATTAGCTCGATTTTACGACATAATTCTAGTAATCGTAGACTAATTAACTAAGGTAGTAAAATTTATACCTATAGAAGAGACTATTATAGTAGATAAATGCGCGTATAAGGTTATAAAGGTACTAGTATTAGAGTATAGAATATCTAAAGAGTTTATTACTAATCGTGATAAACTATTTACGTCTAAATACTAGAGCACATTTCTAGTAAAGTTAGGTATTAAGAAAAAGCTTTTAATAAGCTTTCACCCGGAAACAGACGGCTAGATAGAACGAACGAACTAGATATTAGAATAGTATCTACGGATGTACGCTAATAAGTTATAGAATAACTAGATAGAACTACTACTAATAGTATAATTAGCCTATAATAGTACGAAATTAGTAACGACGAAGCATTCGCTGCACTACGCGAACTACAGATATAAGCTAACTACTTATTAGGATCTAAAGGACATTAAAAGTATCGCGGTAGGAGTAGACGATAAAGCAAAGCTTATACGAGAATTATACGAAGAATTAAGTAAGAATATAGCTTAGTAAAATCTTATAATATCTAAGGTAGCGAATAAACTAAGAATTAAGAGACTAACCTTTAAGAAGAGATATAAAGTTTTCTTATTAAGATAAAATCTAAAAACTAAACGACTATATAGAAAATTAGACAACCTCTAAATAGAACTATTTAAAATTCTAGAGGAAATAGAAAAAGTAAACTATAAGTTAAAACTCTTATAAAGTATATAAATCTACTCTATCTTTTATAAGAAACTTCTAGAACTAGTATCTTTAGATACTAAGCTAGTAATAGATATAGAGCTCGAAGATAATGAGTACGAGATTAAGAAAATTAAGAACCTACGGAAAATTAGTAATTAGTAGAAGTACTTAATTAAGTAGTAAGGATGGCCTAAGAGCTATAATACTTAGGAACCTAAAGAAAATCTAACGAACTATAAGTCACTAGTACGAGAATACTACTAGAAGCACCTAGAGAAGCGAGAGGCAGCCCCTTGAAGAGGAAGGAATAGTTAAAAGAAGGATCGTAGTAATTAGCCTATAACCCGCCTAGATTAGCTGATGATCCGGATAGCGATGGTTCGACAGCAGGAGGATTAGTACTAGGGGCCGAACTCCCCGCAACCTGCTCTTTTGCGCGCTCTAACTCTTTTAGCACTACTAGATCGCGATAAGTAAACGAGTGCTCTTACTCCTTAGCCTCTAGAAGCTTAACCTTTCTTTGAGCTAATTGCGCCTCTAATTAGACAATCTTAAGACGCTTCTAACGCTTTTCTCGCTGAATCTTCTTCTAATCTTTATTAGAAATAAAAAGACTATACTCCGCCTTTATAGTAATACAACCCGTATACTGCCTAGACGCTGTATTAATAAAATAACGTAGACTCTTCTCTTTGTAATAATTATACTTAGTAACTATTTCTAAATAAGCACTCTCTACTTTCGAGGCACGGTATTAGCGCTTCTTAGTTAAAGTGTACTTTCGAGATTAGCGAATAGACTGGACCTTAGGTATAGTTAGGAAGGCTACGAGGTAGAGACGGCTATAACGAGTGGACGGGCTCTAACCTTATATATAGCCGGCGTCTCAACACGCGGCATAGGAAAACAATAGTCTAGGGTATTAGGACGATAGCTCTAAGAGGGGAGGTAATGTTATAAGTAATAAGAAGGATTCTCTCCTTAATAAATAATGAGATGGCTAAAGGCCTATGGACGTCCACGTCAGAAGGTAATAATCATTGCGGGGCTAGGTCACGTAATATGCTATCCTACTAAGGGCAACTATCTAAGGGATAGTAGGACGCCTTGGGATAGCAGCTATCCCTAACATTACAACTATCCTAGGGATGGTAGAGAAGTAAGAGATGGTAGGACTAAAGGTAATAGATATAAGAATAGGTTAGATTTCATTATTACATTCGTTATAGTTAACTTAAATTATACTTTCTTACTAGTATCTTTACTTAATAAGATTATCACAAGTTAGTCTATTAAATAGATTAGTCTTGTTAAAACCTTCTTAAGCACGCTAACTCCACTGTATCGCCAGACAAGCCTCACGGAACACTAACGTAATACTCACCTGCCTTAGTGCGGACCAGGATAGAGAAGTATAGACCCTTACCCCGTGTAACAAATAGTAACTTTCTACTTATCTATAGCTAACGTAAAGCACTACTAAGCTAGACATACTACTAAGCCGGACACTTTTTCTTAGTATCGCGAACATTACTTACAAAGTAATATATCCTAACTACGTAAAGAGATATTAACTTAAAGAGAAGGTAGAATTACTCTTACTATTTAGGCCTATTATATAGGTTAGTTTAAGAGTATTCGACGCGCTGCTACTATCTACAACGTTCCTTTTTAGCGGCTTTCTAATTAGCTTAATAAAATTACTTTTTAGCTCTAGATATCTCTAAACTATTATAAACTAACTATAATTAATAAGTAAATAATTATATAATATATTCTTAATTTAGATTTATAAGAATTTGCTCTCTAACTATATAAAGTAGTAGATATAGTAGAGAAACTACTACGCGTACGAGATAGCTAACCTTTAGATAAGAACTAGATAGAGCGATTCGTATCGCGTTTAGATAAGCTAAAAATAGCTTTTAATTAAGTAAAGAACTACTGAAGAATATAGTAAAAAGATCTAAAGGTTATTAACGCGTAGTTTAGTCTAATATAAGAGATAATTAAGAAGTATAGAGTATATTCTAACGATATTTATAACTTCAATAAGACTAGCTTTTAAATAGGTGTAATTAGCTTAATAAAGGTTATTATAGGCGTAGAGCGTCGTATAAGGCCTACTCTTACGTAGCTAGATAATCGCGAGTAGGTTATAGTTATTTAGAGTATCTACGCTATAGAGTATACTACTCCGCTATTTATTATCTATAAAGAATATATCTACATCTCTACTTAGTATAAAGAAGTTAATATACTATATAACTAGAAGCTCTTAGTATTATAGAATAGCTAGACGAATAATAAGCTTAGCTTTATATAGTTAAAGCACTTTAATAAGCATATAAAGACGTGTTAGGTAGAGTTATATAGGCTGCTTATTCTTAATAGCTATAAGAGCTACCTAAACTAAGAATTTAAGGACTACTATCTTATATAGAAGATTCTTACTCTTTATATACCTACTTATTTATTATATATACTCTAGCCGCTTAACGTTATCTACTTTTTATCTCTTAAGTAGAAGTATTCTTAACGCGTATAAGACTTAGTACTGTTATGGGCGGAGAGGCCTAGCGAACGAGTATGCTTCTACCTATCGTACAGAAGCTAAAAGATGAGAAAAAGAGAAGATAACTAAGTACAGACTTCTCTTATACCTACTCGCTTCTGATCACATGTCTGTACAGAAGGTATATTACGTGGTCGAAGATCACGTGATCCCTTTAGTAGAGATCACGGGCGCAGCCCTTTATAATACTCCCCTCCTCTACTTATACGGACATGTTTGCGTTTGTTTGTTTTCCTAGGAGCACGCGGCTGCCTAACTTACGGTAGAGTAGCAGCGTTTGTTTACTCTAGTGGAGGAGGATTTCCACGAGAGTAACCGCTCCCTCCGTACGATATATAGAGCTGCCGTCCCTCTCTCCTCTAGCTTTTCTTTCTCTATACTAAATTAATTTAACTCTACTTCTATAATAATTTCTTCTTTCTTTCTAACTATACTTGTACGATGCCGCCTAAAGCGTAACTACTCTCTCGCGGTATCTAGGCTAACGCAAACACTAACAGTTTACAGTTTTGCACTAGCGGTAGCCTTAATAATAATATTAATAACGTGGCTAACTAAATCTTTAATGCTATCTATTGAGCTCTGACTTATATAACGCTAGGCGCTATACTGCTAACTTTTAATATACTGGGCGCTATTAACTTAAACGAGTATCGTGTCTAGTTTATCTTCGATTAGCGCGTTATAGATAAGCTACGCTGTGTTTACACAGTTGCCCCTATACGTAATACTTCTTTAACTTCTTATACGGCTAGTCTTAACTTACGTAGGAGAACGTTTACTATATTTTTAACTACTTCTATCGCCCTCGCAGTAATAGTCCGTACGATGCCGTCTTCGGCCCAAGCCCTTACGACTACTCGCCTATAATCGCACGTACGACTATCACTACTTGGCAGATTCTTATTAGCTGTCCGCTCTACCTTAAGGCCTTTATTGTACATAGCCGTAGCACTCTTAACGCGGCTTTTTATACGAATAATTGCGCTACTATCCTACAAGGCGAGAAGGAGTTTACCGCATTCGCTAGCTGCGTGTCTATTGCTAGTAAGTGAGATAGAGCCTGCTTTAACTACGTCTAGTAAGATTATAGAGCTTATTGTAGTGTCACTTAGTAGGTAGTCTCTCGTATAGGAGGTGGGCGTAAGAGGCTCTCTAGCGGTTCTAGTAGTGGTAACTAGCGTAGTTATCTGGCTGCGGGTAGTGCTGAGAACCCCCTGCTCGTGGAGTAGGTAGAACTACCTTCGCTAGTTTCTTCTAAGTCGTCTGTTAGGTTATCGTCCGGGTTAGATGTGGGACAACTATGACTATAGGGCCGTAGTGTTAGCGAGATGAGCGGCGGGCTCCTATGTGGGCTCGTCGTAGCCTACCTAATGAACAAGGTATTCTATTTATCTGCGCCTTATTCTCTCGTCCGTGATATCTCGTACTATTCACTCTAAGTGTTCTTTATTACTTTCGTTATCTCGTACGACTACAGCAGCTGGATTAGTGTCGTCCATCTGCTATGATGGGAATGGATCGTTAGCTACCGGACGGAGCTTATCTACATAGTAAGTTTTCGTTTTCTATAGTATAGCTAACTCCACCTAGTAGGGATCTCGTACGTGAGCAATCTAGAACTTAGCGCTTTTCTAATTAAGTTTCTTACTACTCCTTGTCGTACGAATATCCCGTAGGTCTAACTATACCTAGTCTCCTACGCGGTAGGTGGGCGCTAGTCTACGGGACTTATTAGCTTATCGTTCTTGCTCTTGTTAGGCGTACGTTATAGTAGATATAGCCTAGTTAGCGGTATTACTAATCGTCTGGACGATATCCTTTATAGCTTCTCCTACTTCGTTGGCTTATATAACTATTTAGGGCTAGGGAAAAAGAGTATTATAGTAATTATAGTAGAGGAAAAAGGGGGAAACTCCTATTATTATGTTTATACGAGAGTTAAGTATAAGTTCTAGAAGAGAGTAGAGTTATGCCTAGTTGTCTTAATTATAGTTGTAGAAGATCCGTATTACTGCTTCTATATTGCTATTAGCGCGCTCTGTTGTTCCGTCCGTTTATAGGTAGTAGGCTGTTAAGAGATTTCTCTAGATACTAAGTAGCTAGTAGACTTGTTTCTAAAGAGAGCTGGCGAATTGGGGGCTATGGTCGGACGTGATAGACTATAGAAGGCTATGGTACTAGTAGACTTCCCGTATGAAGGCCTAAGCGACGTCTGTTATCTTAATCTTGTCTATAGGGATTAGTACGACGCCTTTGCCTAGTCTGTTCTTTACTACTATAAGGTTGGTTTTTTCTTAAGAGCTAGGTAAACCCGTAATAAAGTTAACTGTTAGATGTTACCACGTACGACTAGGAATAGGTAATGGTTTTAAGTACCTATGTTTCCTATCTCTCTAGAGGGTGCTTTTCCTATAAAGCTTGTAATTCTGTACGTAACGGCGTACATTAGTGCTTATATTTAGCTAATACTATTCTCTTACGATAATTCTATATATTTCCTCTCGTCTAGGGTGTTCTATTAGTAGAGATAAGTGCGCAGTCTAGATTACTCCTGTCTGGAGTGGTTCGTATTTAGGTACCTATACTCTATTACGCTAGTATAACTTATCTTTAGCGTTAATCGTGCAGTCGCCTAAGAAGATAGTAATCTTACAAGAGCTTAGGAGAGATCGTTTTCCTTCTTATACAGCCGCTTTTATTTCTTAGTATAGAGAATCTTCTTGTACGGCGCTATCCCAATAGGCTCGTACGAGCGTAGGAAAATATAGTAGTTGTGGTAGTGTAGTCGACACTAGAGGAGAGACGTCTTCTTAAGTGTTGGTAGCATCTCGTACAGGCATAACTATAATACTTTCCTAGGTCTAGGCTGGCACTAGCATAATAAATTCTCTTGATGCTAAATGCTTGTCTAGGTCGTTCTTCTGCATATCTTAGTCTCGCCTAGATAAGGCGTCCGCCCGTACGTTCTCCTTACTAGGGCGGTAGCGGAGTTTTATATTTAAGAAGCGGGCTAGTTCTAAGTTCTATCGTACGTAGCGTTCGGAGAGCTTTTGCTTATGGGTGAAGTATTTTAGATTCTTATAGTTTGTAACTACTTCGAATTCTTGTACGCCTTATAATTTAGCGTTCTACTCTTTTAGATAGCAGATTACCACTAGTAGCTTCTTATTATAGATTAGGTAGTTCGCTTTATATACTAGTAGCTTTTGGGAGAAGTAAGCTATTGTACGTAGAGTACTTTTGTCGTCTTCTTATAGAAGTACAGCACCTATTGCTTGTCTAGATAAGTTATACTCTACTACTGTCTGTCTATCTAGGTTAAAGGTAGCTAATACTTCGTTAGAGAGGAAAGCTTCCTTAAGAGTAGTAAAGCTTAGCTCTTAGTCTTGGCTCTATTTAAATTTAGCGTCTTTTCTTATTAACTGTATAAGAGGTTCTACGAGTCTTAAAAAGTTAGAGATAAATCTATGATAGAAATTAGCGAACCTAAGGAACCCTCTTACGCCTTATATAGTAGCTAGAGCTTCCTATTCTTAAATAGCTCTTATCTTCTTAGTGTCTATTAAGACGCTCTTCCCTACTTTAAGGATAAATCCTAAGTATTTCGTACGTTGGACGTTAAATTCGCACTTCTTAAGTTTAAGCTGTAGTCCTGTAGCTTATAGACGCTTAATTACTTACTGTACGTAGTTGTAATGTTAGGATATTAAGCTATCTATATAGATTAGGATATCGTCTAAGTAGGCGGAAGCGAAATCGTCTAGAAACTCGCGTAGTGTCTAGTTAATATAACGTTGGAATGTGCTAGGGGCGTTAGTAAGTCTAAAAGGAGTAACTAGCTACTTATACGACCTAAACTGGGTATGAAAGGTAGTTATCTATTTCTAGCCCTCCGTGATCCGGATTTTATAGAAGGTGGCCGTGATATTAAGCTTTATATACTACTTTGCTTGTCTAACTTAATTTAGCGTCTTACGTATAAGAGATAGAGAATAATAGTTCTTATAAGTTAGTGTATTTAGGGCGCGGTAGTCTACGTAGAATCTTAGTTCTCCCCTAGGTTTCCGTACGAAGAGGACTAGTAACGTAGTGAGAGAGTTGCTTGCGCGGATGAACTCTTTCTTAAGTAACTTATATAGTGTCTTGCGTAGTACTAGAAGTTTATCTCTAGATATATTATAGAGAGGTCCGTATAGGACTTCTAGTAGCTTTCTATTATCTTTAGGGATTAGTTCGATCTTATAGTTAACGTCTAGACCTTGTAGAGGCGGGAGCTCGTCTTCTTTCTTTAGAGTAAATAGAGAGGCGTACTATCGTAAGTATGAAGGAAGTAACTTAGTTACTTCTACTATAGTTAGCTGCGTCTTTAGATAGAGAGCTTTCTTAATATCTTAGAGACTAGTAGCGAAGACTTGTAGAGCTGGCTGTTTTCGGCTTCGTTGTACGTAGGCCTAAAAAGCGGCTGCTAAGATTGTAGCGAAGTTCTATAGTGGTTTAGTTCTCTCTATGCTAGGTATAGAGAGATTGTAACGTGGAAGAAGAAGTGTTCGTCTGGCCGTATTAATAACACCTTCTATATCTTTAAGCTAGGTCTTCCCTAAAATAATGTCGTACTCGTACGTGGACGTAGTAATAAAAGCGGCTACTTTTCGCTTAATTTCTCTAACATCTATAGTAAATTGAGTAATAGCTCGTATAGTGCTTTTCTAGTTATTAATACATTTAATTTCTCTAGTAGGGATAGATACGCGCGGCAGGTTAAGTTCTTATACGAGTCTTTTATATACTATCGCATAAGTGTAGCACCTATTATTAATTATAGTAGTAGCGTTTTTTAAAAGATTAATGATTATGTCTATAGACATTAGCTAAGTAGACTTTAGTTAGTGAAGTAGCTCTTGGATAGGTCGTACGACCTACTTAACCTGCTTTAGCTGCCCTAGTCGACGTTTTTAGACTAGAGCTCCTCTTTTCCCTCGTCTAAGCTTTCGTCTTCTAAGGTAGCAGCTAGAACTTTTGTTATAGTCTCTAGCTTGCGCGTGCGTTTTAGAACTACTACTTTATACTACTATACGAGGTGGCCGTGGATACTATAATGTAGGTAGCTGCCCTCCTTCTTGCGTTAAGTAATTTAGCTTTATGTACTCTAGTACTTATTTCTTATACGGGGACGTATAGCGCCTATATTAGGCGTCTAGTCCATTTCGTCTACGGCAGCTAGGGTAGACGTAGAAAGAGAGGTAGAGTAAGAGGGCGCGTTAAATAAGAGTTAGTTAATTACCTTAAGATTCTCCTAAGTATTCCTAAGTTAATAAATAAAGGCGTCGTACGTCTCGTTTGAAGGAGGCTAGTATCTAGCTTAGTAGCGTAGTAGCTTCCTATTAAGAGAATTCTTAAGATAGTTAATTTTTAGCACGTTATCGTCTTATCTAAAACTAGCTTTATTAAACTTTAGGTTAAAGGCTCGTACGTAGAGAAGAAACTCGCCTTTTTCTTACTTAGTTATACGGAGATACTATAGAGCTTTTTACTTAATTAAAGGGTCTTTAAAGAACGCGTCTAGTTACTCTTAAAGCTTACTTAAGCTAGATAATACGTTTCTACTTATAAAGTCTTATACGTAAGCTTATAATACTAAAAAGGCTAGTACTCCTATCTAGAAGATTATATAGTAAGCTTAGTAGAACTCTATAAGGTAAGCTAGATAATCTACTAATAGTTTTATATAGATCTACATCTTCTACTATATATATTCTTTATATAAATCTTTCTTAAAGATTCTAATATTAGAGAGTCTAGCTTTTCTAAACTCTTATATGGGCGTAGTCGTAGCTAAAGACTAGCTAAGAGGTTACTAACTTTCTATACTTAGCGTAAGATTAGGAGTCTATATATTAGAGGTAGCTTACCCCTATACTATATAGAGAAAAAGAGCTTTTATCTCTTAGAGTTCTTCTTGTACGCCTTTAGCGTTCTTAAGTCTTATAGCTATCTAGTCTAGGTTTTATTAGAGTAGATTATTTAT